CCCCAAAACCCCAAAACCCCAAAACCCCACATAAACCAAGAAATTTTTACATCATATATAATTAAACTAATCATCATATAATAATCCAATGAATTCAAACCTTGTTGAATGCAAATATACCACACTCATTTAGACTTAAACAAGCCAAATTTGCCGTTATTCTTAATTTCCTCAGTCATAAATAAACTAATTTCCAATATTTCTTGTTTTGTCTCATTGAACATCTGCTCCACTTGATTTTTCTCCTAAACACATCTTCTCAATGCATCCATTTAATCATTTATAACTGACTATTTATACTCTAGCTTTAGCTATTCTTACAAAAGCTAAACTTTGTATTAATCTCTATCTTTTTGTAAAGCTAGTGTCTCATTCTTATAATAATCTCTTTCATATTTCAAGTCTTTCAAGTAATCGTCATAAATATTCTATTGCTTATCCTGATTATTCTTATCCCTTATTCCGTAATCAGTTTTATTCGAAATTAGATACTGTATTAAGATAAATATCAAAAGCAAAAGAATCAAAGGTCTTTGGAATGAATTGCTATGAATAATTTATTGAATTAAACTGCTCCTTTTATTCGAACTATTTTACTCGCTTATCTGCAATGCTTTGCTCTGAATAGTATGCTAAGACAAAAACTGCATTTAAGGATTCTACTATGGGCCTGGAGACTATAAATTACTCTTCTCTTCTGCTATTGGTGTGAGATTTCTTTGCTTAATACGCTGAGTTAGGCTTTTTTAATCTGTTTACCTTTGAATGTAATCTAAATCATTTATATTTCTTATTGTTTGCTAATTACTCTCAAGTACACTGAGAAGCTAAGATCTCTCTATGTTATTAAACTATCTTTGGAATCTGTTAATCAGATCTGATTATACAATACCCTACTCTTAGCTTTTATAAAAGCCTGAATCTGAACTTCTTTAGTAGTTTTGCATAGGTAGCTTTTTATCTGCATTCTGATCATGATGATTGTTGATATTCATGAATATCGAGTCAAGGGTTTCGAGTTTGTTTCTTTTTCTATCTTTCTTCATAATTTCAGCAGTATCAATCGAGTCTCTCTAAATATTAACCTGATCTTCATCTAGAACACTTGAAAAGTCATGATTGCTATCTAAATCTTGAAAGATCTTTTCATATAGATTGATGTCAATTTTATTCGGAGAATTGCAGTTGAAGGTTTTTTCCATTTCAGTTGATTAAATTTATGAATTCATTTAATACTTTAGACTTTTAACATATATTTATATTAGACATATAGGGGGTTTTGGGGTTTTGGG